ATGGGGGCCTCAATCTGTACCCCCCATGCCCCTTCTCCTCCATAGACTTACCTGCAGGGAGCTGCTCTCCATGCTGTCTAGCTGTGCTCCTGACCATGTGCATATGTGCAGCCGTGCGCATGCACATGGTGTCCCCCGAGTCTCACTCCGGGCAGCCCCAAGCAGGACCCCTTGCAGGCTAGAATGCTGCTTACTGTTTCCCAAGGGAACCCAGGCATCTGGGGGCTGCGGCCCTGCAGGGAACAGGGAACCCAGGTGTCCAGGGCCCTAGCCAGAAGGCATAATTATGAATAAACATTATCAGCTTCAACAGCCAAAATAAGCCGGTAGCCAATAATGTCGTTTTCCTTTTTATCGGTGCCTATCTGACAGGCAGCTGATATAACCAGCGCACCTCTAGCAAAAGGCTTTTACTACCTGGCAAAATCAAGCCCTCAATGTGCCAGCATTACCATGAAGGAGCTAATCCTTCAGAACATGTGACAAAAGTTGTGCTCTTACCTTCAGAAAGCAAACAACTTGGTGTAGAAACACAGGGCATAGGATGTTCTTTGACTTGGGAGGGAAGATGACATATCTCTATGCTCGCTCTGCCTGATAAGCACTGGTGGACAGCTCTGGGACAAATGTAATGCTAACAAGAGCCTAACAAGAGCCTAGAGATGCCTGTCGGCATAGTCAGACAGAACAGGTACAAATGTATGTGTTTAGGGAAAACCTGGGTGGGAGGGAAAGGTGCTTCATTAAATCAGGGAGGTCAACTGAGCTTTCAGCTGTACCAGGACCAGCTAACACAACTGAAGCTTGTTACTTTGTGTCTAGGCAGAAGCTTCAATCATTTTAAGGTAAGTAAACAGAAAAAAACCTAAAAAAGTATTTCTATCCCATGTAAGAAGGGCCTAAATGACAGAAGTTAATATTTGGAATAAGTCCACTAAAAATAGCAGTAACATCAGCTCTATAATTGTGCCACTGAAATCTGAATGTGGACCAATGGGAGAAGTAATTCATAAGTCCGGGTTATAAATGGGCCCTGTGTTTATAATGGAAACCAAGGACCTGACTCATCTCCCTCACACAAAGGTAAAATGATAGCGGTGCCACCAAAATCAAGATTCACAGGTGCACATGAACAGGGAGCTGCGTGCTCAATTTGAGTTTCTCTGGAAGGGAATTTTGACAACTTCTAGAGCATTAACATCTATAAATGTAGCGTGGAAATATAACTAAACACCTTCTCCTACAGCCCTATAGCTCTTCAAGTGCATGGGAGAGTGATGGCCCCAGTGATGTTCCCCAGCCCTGCACAGCTCCAATAACCTTACTGCAATCATGGCAATTAATTATTGCAATCTCTCTTCAGGAGACTGTGCCATCTTCTGTGGCTGTTATTTGCTTGTCTAGCATAACAGACCCCCAAATGCAGACTCAGGCATTTGGGCATGGCCTTATTATAAGTAAGAACAAATATCAATTCTGTTTTGTTTTACCCCGAGCTTACTAAACTGATTAAGTGTGGCAAGAATAGAAGTCAGCTGGTGTGTATGCTTGAACAAAGGCTGCCAGGATGTGCTCCTTTTACCATTAGTCTTTACTTTCTGTTGTACTGCTATGTAAAACCACCTCCCTTTGATTTTTCTTAGTTACTACCTTTCTATCTAGTGTCTTGATTTAACATGATTGTCCACACTTAGCTCAGCTGCCTTTCCCTTGAATGTACTAAAAAAAAAAAGAGTTCAAAAGCTTATCAAGAAAGAGTAGAACCAGACATTTTCTTGATCAAAAGTTTTTAATTGAGCTATGCAAAAATGCCAACATCTCTCATCAAGATGAAAACATGCTGTATTACTAACTTCCCTTTTGTCAACTCAGAGGCCCTATATAGTATGCCACTGAGGACACAGAGTTTTGGTCCTGAACATGTGCACTGGGTCCTCCATTGGTGAATCTATTATTGCAGAAGTGGCTATGGCACATGTGCCACCACGAGGGATGGGTAGCCTGTGTGTGGAATGCAGTAGATCAGGAAGGGGACAGGAAGAAGAGTGGCGGAGAAGGCAAGGAGCAGAAAGCAGAGCAGCAGATTGGGCAGGGAGCACAGGGTTGGAAGCATGAAGCACCAGGGAAAATCAGGCAGGGAGCACAGGTTAGGGTGAAGAAAACAGAGCAACAGATCAGGCAGTGAGAGGGGATCTGACTGGCACTCCAGAAGGGTGCAGGACTAATTTCTGGCATGCCTACCAAAGATGTTGGCTCCCACTGTATTTCTGTATTGTTATGCTGCATTATTTGTAATTGTTGTAGATTTATGTTCCTTATTATTGACTTTAAATAACCAGTTTGTTAAATTTCGCTTCTGAAAAAAGTAACCTACTGATTAAATTTGCATTTCCTTTGCATCAAATTATGTGACTTGCAAAGTGACTTGGCATCATCACTCAGGTTTGGGACACAATAAACAGTGTAATTTTGAAGTGTAATTTAAATTACTTTCCAGACTAGCAAATAACATTATTCTCAAAATGACTTTAAAAATAACTGGCTACTGCAATCGATTGTTTTAACAACCATATGACTACAGTGTGTATATATACATGTGTGTATGATCAATCACTAAGTTATTTTTCTCCAAGCTACATACCTGACAAAGCTCCTTTCTATTTCCATTATAAATGTGCTTAAATGCAAGCCTCAATCTAAATCACTCCAGCACCTTTGAAAGGAGGGTGGGATTAGTATCTGGACACAGATGTAGCTATAACACCACTGCACAATAAGTTAGGAGTCAAAAACCCCAGATACAATTTTCTGGGTATTCAAATATCCAATTTTGCAACTCTGCAGAGATCATTAATGTTTGTCCCCCCCACCCTCCTTCCCCTCCCGCCATTTCCTCCTTACTACAGGCTGTTATGTTGACAATACAGACAAATATTAAAATGTTTTATGATCACCTCTGTTCTGGCACGATCCAGGTCCAGGTCCAGATTCAGCAGAAAGTTTCATAGCTACTACTGCAGCTCAGTGCATCATCCAGGAAATGCACTGCATGACAGCACTGAGCAAACATCATATGAAAAGCTTTCACTCTCAGTTTTTTTTTGTTTGGCTGGTTTGTGTCATGCATCAAACTTTTTAAATTTCATTCTTGGCTCAGATGCCACCATCCCAGCAGTCCATACTTCCTCAGGGCAATGGAAGAGATGTGATGAAAATACCAAATATATATGAAATGCTCAGATTAAATGGCTCTATCAGGGTGGGTTGTCATCATTCAGTTGTTCCACTGAGTAGACCCTCAATCGAACTGAGGAATGATTACCTCCACCAGATGAAGAGCTACCACTTACCATGTGTGTAAGGCGTATAACAACAATATAGTAATTATACAGGAAAAAAAATACAACATGAAGAAAAGAAGAATGCTAAACCTACCAGTTTGTATATTTTTACAACTAACAAAGCAAAGTAAGGGTAGGTATGTAGACAAGAACGACGGGGCCAGGAATAGGGTTTGAAATAAGAGGCAGAGGAAATGCATTGTAGGTGTATCTAAATATAAAATGTTAAGTATCTCAATCCTTTGAACTATGGATAGTAAACCAGTAATGACTGCATTATGAAAGATAGGATAAATCTGAGTGCATTAAAGTTAAGCGCAAAGACAGGCTGTCTTAAATCAAGCCCTAGTGAACTGGGACGGCTGCATGCAACAAGGTGAGGTTTGCTACCAATAAGCATAAAGTCCTACCTCTAGGGAGAGGAAATAAATAGCATAGACAAACTGAGGGGCATCTAGCTGCAAAGCAGTGAATCTGAGAAATGCCCAAGCGTGTTTGCAGGCATCAAATACAGATTCTCAGTGTGATGCTGCTGAGAGAAATGGGAGTAGGGGAACAAAAGCCAGTGTTGTTTTTGGATGTGTCTATAAGGGGCTCATAGAAATCTAAAGCACAATGCCATGCTAGGCCAACTGTAGTGAGAATCATGTGCTGTTCTGGTCCTCATGAATTACGATGAATATAGAAAAATTACAGAAAATACAAGTAAGGGAAGTAAAAATGATCCAAGGAGTATTGAAGGGAACTAAATTAATGTCATCTGGAAATGAGAAGACTCTACAGGCCATGATCCAACTATAAATATCTTGAAGCAAAATTATTATTCCACCTCAAAGATGGCAGGACAGGGGGCAACTGGCTTGAAATTAAGGATGAAAAATTCAGATTGGAGAATAAGAAAAGGTTTTTAAAAGCACTGCATGTAGACAATGGCATACTCCTAAAGGAGGTGGCCAAGGCACAGTGGCCAAAGACATTGAAAAATAGGTCAAATAAGAGGCTAGGGGAAGGGATGTTGACATAGCCCTCTAAAACCCACAGAGGTCATTTTAGACAGCTCAAGTGGTCTTTTCATGTCCTTTCTTTAGTCATCCCAAAAACATCTATAACATGGTAGCTCATGGGTTTGGGATATAGAGCATTCGGCCTCATCTGAAATCCAACTGATGATAATAATGACAAAGTTGTGACACTGTTGGCTGCTCAGTGACTAATGCAAAATGAGTTTGTTGGGTTCCTGATGGGGCAGTGTCTACACTGCAGAAAATGGCAGTTCCAGTTGGCACAGTTCTGGCAGGCTCAGTACTGAGGCCAAACGCTGAAAGGGCATGAGTTTAACTACCCTTATTTTTAACACTTATTGGTGGCTGTTCCAGGTCTGTGTTAAACGATACTACTTGGACAATGTATGATGGAAGCTTACAAAACCGCTGTGCCTGCAGTATCTTCTCTGTGGATCAGTCAAGAACCAATACTGACCATGTAACATAAACGCTAGAATACACTACATTTTTATTATTATTATTATTATTTTTTAAAAAGCATTGGTAATACTTCCTAGAATATTCAGTGACAAATGGGTATACACAAAAGTGAGTCATATACATCCATATACCATCATAACCCCCCCTTACATATACCCATCCCAACTGCACTCACCAATCGGGACTTCTGTCCCCTCCTCAATGTGGATAGGCAGTGGTGATTCCTCCATAGGATGATGCACTGATGGAAAGTAATGAATCGTGGTAGTATTTGTCGCAAAGTGACAAGAATAAGATGGTCCCTTTCTTATCATTATAATACAAATGCCTGGTTATTGTCACAAAGAGTCCTTTTTCAAAATGGCCACTTCCTGCCACGTGACCCTTCATATACTTCCTGTGTCTGGAGACCCATTCCTGATGAAGGAACTTCTGAGAATGTACTTATATTTGAGGGATGAACCACTTGAGGTTCGAAATCCCTGAGCTTTTTATATCCTTTGGAAAGTTCACATTCTGAGGGGGGGTCTTAAGTTCTGAAAGTTTAACTTTACCGAAGAGTCTCATTTTGATCATTCACAATCCATGGGGATTAATCCCGATCTGAGAATTCATATCCATGGGAATTTACACCATTCTGAAAGTTCACAATGCCTGGGAGAGGTTTCTATCCGCAAGTCTCACCATCCCGGCACTTGACAATAGTCTTTCTATTCACATCCCTGGAGTTTCTCTCTCTTTTGGAAATTCATACTGTTGAAGAAGCCAAAGGGAGCCAATGCACCGAGGCACACATATAGCAATTACAGACAGGCAGAGATGTAGACGTCAAATCTGAGAGAGAATATTTCACACACAGAACCAGGAAAGAGGCTCTGTTGCTTAAAGCTTGCCTTTGGCAGCTTGCCTACGGCAGGTGGTGGAAGGCTGTAATGTATATATGGCCCACAGGCCATAAATTTATATTACTGATCCATTTTAAAGTAAACATTGCAGTTATGGAGCTTTCAATTATCCATTTATGGCGTCAAAATTAAGAGAGAGAGAGCTTTAAATCTGCATTCCAATGGGCTCCAGATTCTAGGCTGCAACTCAAGGTCATCACACCATCGTGTATTTTTTTCCTCCTCCCCTTTTTGAATCCTCTTTACTTAAAGATATTTTTTCTTACCACGGTGCTTCCTCTTTAAAAATCTGGGGAGATGCGTGTTCTTTGTCCTCTTTTCAAGAGGTCTGAATTTGTACAGTAGGGAGGCCTGTGATGATGAGAAATGGGCTAACAAGATGACACCTTCAATTTTTCTGTCGCTGCTGTCTTTTAAAAGTGGCAATGTACCACCTGAAAGGTACAAGCTCTACTCTAGTCTAAGTTTTTAGCATATCTGTATGGGAAGGGGCGACTCTTTTTAATTGCTGCAAGTAAGTTTTATATATCATCTTTTCCATTGGAAAAAAAAACCCCCATCACTAACTGGTAGCCCTACTGATTTCCTTAACACCAACCAATAATGAATTCAAAGACACACAATAAAATTATTATGACATTTCTGACAGAAAAACAACTGGAATAAAAAAAAAAAATCCATAGATTTTTGATTAGCAACAGAGATAATCTAAACCCATGCAGTTATATTCCGCTGGGTTCAAAGAGGGCCTCATCACTGAATATACCTGAACCCACCTCTAATTTAAAATGGAAAATGAAGGGTAGCATAGGAAAGACGAACAGCAGAACACAGTTGTCTACACAACTACTGTACTAGCCATAGAAATGATGATCTACAAGGGCTCATTGCGCAAGCTGCTCTTTATCTAAAAGCTGAACTAACATTTCAGCCCAACAATAGCAAAAACCATTTGTTACCACACAGCATTTTGCTATATATTAACCAGCAGTTGCTACGCAAGAATAATGCAACGTTGTAATTCAGAGATATGTTGTTATTTTCAGAAAAATGTTGATGCATGAGTAATTGGCTTGATGTCAATGCTCGTGGGTTTGTCATGCGGCTTGACAACAGTGCATGCTTCCAAGTTAGGCAAAGCGGGCCTTGCATTGTGAACAATGCATTCATTTTCCTTGTTAAGGCAGTAATATTTTTAATCGAGGCATTTACTTCGGAGGAAGAGATACTGAGCAGAGCTTACTTTATTACCAAGAGTTTTAAACTCAAAGATCTGCAAGCAAAACAAGTCACTAGGCGATGTGCAGAACTGCAGAACTCCATGACATGCAGCTTTACTTGTTCTATGCAGAGTACTACATAAGGCTCATTGGCCTTTCTGAGACTGAGCATTTAGTCTGGAGGCAAATGTTTTCACAAAACATTTGCAACAGTATTCACCAATGGTTGGTGGGATTTACTCTTACTTATTTTAGTGGGTATCATCATAGGTAGAAAAGGCCTGAAATATCTCTTTGCTATTTGAGGCCACACACACACAAACATACACAAACAACTTTACAGACAGAGCTTGGATTCTGTAGAAGAATCCAAGAAAGAGAAGCTTATTCTTAGCATTGGACTGGAAACTAGGGAGCCTGAGTTTTAGGGTGTGCTTTGACACTGACTCATCTTTGGCCTGGGGCAAGTCACTTAATTACTATGCTTCCCCTCATCTGTTAAGTGAAATGATAATACATACCTGCTTCACAGGCATGTTGTGCAAATGAACCCCTCAATGTCTGCAAAGTACTTTGTAATGGATACTGCATTGATGTGCACAACAGAACTGCTTAGATAGATGTAAGATAACAGTAGAGTATTATTGTGCAATCACAGTTGCTTTTTATAGGCTCTTTACTTGGTTTCTATGAACAGATGGTAAGTCTTTAGTATCTGAACATCCTAATAATTTTTTAATCCTTCTGTAACTTTGTAAATCAGCATAAATAACACTTACATGAAGAAGAGTTTGTCCTGAATGGATTTTCTCTTCCTGTTTTGGAAAAAAAAGAGAAAGCAAAAAAAAAAAATAATAATAAATATATAAAATAAAAGCAAGGGGAAAATGAGTCCATCAGCATAATGAGATACTTTTGACTCAAAACATCATCATGCAGATGAAATCCAATAATAAATGCATGAACTAATTTTTTTTGTGGTACATCAGGATACTGAATATAATAACAAATGCAAAAATAGGCCATCGTTTCCCATCTGTCAGCCCACTACAATTTTTCAAATGTAAATTATCACAGAAATTCTACCTGTGTCTCAAGAGAAAGTAAATTACACCAGACATCAGTGAAAATAAAACACCAAGGCCCTATAATCTAGAGTAAGGTAGGATTTTTTTTTAACTACTTCCTAGTATCTTCGTTAATGGCTGCCTGTATCTATCTACTGGATCTCTGTTGCTCCCCTTCTGAGCGCTAGTATGCAAACCTCAACACTCAACAGCGGACCCAATAAGTCATGCATTGTCTTCCATCTGAGCTGTACAGTCAATCAGTAACCTTCGCCCAACGCTCAAGCCACAGATGTACTGAAGCATAAGCCTTGCAGACAAAGAAGGTTACTGAATTCCTTCAAGGCTGCGATCGTTATGGGAGGAACCCATAACAAGAACTATAATGCACCTGTTAGTCTTCATACCAATGAATGACCTTACATAACCACCACGCAGCCTGCTACCTCGTGACATCCCCCTCTTTCATGTCTGGCCAAAGCTTCTGTACTTGATGCTAGCAGCTGCGAGTGAATGAAAAACTACGTGCTCTCTTTCTGCTTGTTTGCCGATATCTATCTTGCATGTTCATTGGAGCAGGGTCATTAAGGTAGGTTCTCATCTCTGTTTTGCAGGCATATGCCTACTTACTCAAAAAAATTGGCAATATATACAAAACATGCAGAAAAATGTATTAATACAAGGGTAGGCATTAGGAAACTTTCCTGGTCTTTAGTATCTCAGATCCTGTTGCATGGCAACCCCAGCAAACGTTGGCTCTCCACTGGCAAGGCAACCACTGGAGGTGAGGTTAAAAAATATGTCAATGGACAACTTTAATCCTTCTCTACTTCCAAACTTCTGCTGGTGCATCCTATACCAACATCAACCACAGCATCGGATGAGCAATACACAGAATGCTAGCCTGCTTATATATATCTGCACACATACTTGCACTTTGGAGTGGTAAATTTGAGATCTTCAGCTGGGGTAAATTAATTATATCAGCAGAAGTACATCATCTGAGGACACAGCTCTTGATGTGAGCTAGGACGGCAAGCATTCATGGGGAATTCAATTACTATAATGGGGTGGCCAATTGCTATAATGGGACAACCTCCAGCACAGGTGCCAGAGCATGGCACACAAAGGCATTTTGCCCGGCAGGGCAGATGGTGGGGAAAGGGCCAGGGCTGCACTACCACAGCAAGTATCAGGCCCCTCATGACTCCCCCCCGCCATCTACCCCTGGCATAATGTGAGGTTGCAGGTATTTTTGGCACTGCCCAAAAACGTTGCCCACCCCTGTACTATAACATCATTTTCAGACTTTCCTTCCAAGCCACCAGGGACTCAGTCCTGGAAGTGGATTGAACAAAGAAGATCCACTGGAGCTAAAAGAAGGTCTCAAGTTTGGGCCCCAGGAATTATTTTTAAAAAGCAGAACCTTGATCCATCGTTATGGTATAAGTGCAGTCAGTGAAGAAAAGAGGACAAATGCACTAATCTTACTTAGTAATCTATTAAAAGCTGTGCTCTTTAAAGCATTTACAGTTTATTAGAGTGATGAATCAGATAAGATCTGGCAAAAAGCTTTAACTCCTCCAACTTTCACATTCGTCATTACTCGTGATAATAGGCTACCACTTCAATTTAAAAGAAAACAGGAGGTACACTCTTAAGGAAGTGAAAACAGCTTCGTCTTTATGGAGTCACTTGTTAACAACCAAAAACACAAGAGAGAGCAGGGAGCAACTGTATAAAGCTTCTCTCTGAGATTGGTGGGGATGTTTCGTGTCACTTAGGTACACCCAGGGACCAGGGAATGGGAAGAAAAAAGAGAAGCCTAGGATAAAGGGGTGCAGCAGGTGATAACTGAGGAGCACTGTTAGATCAGTGTGACAATAAGCTTGCGCTGACAAGATGTAATCATTGGATCTATTTTGTGCTACCATTCCCTCCTCTCACCCACTCAGCAGAAATAAACAAAGTGTGTTCTGTTTTCCTAGAAATGGCCAGAAGGTGCGGACCGTTCTAACTAAAACCAATGGTACTTGCCCAGTTAAAGGCTGCAAGACTCTCTGAAAATGCCTCTCAACTGGAAAAGAGGCATTAGGGGCAAACCTCTAAGATGCACCTCAGTTTTGGCTATTCAGACTGTTTGAGGAAGTCATCCTTGGACTTCTCCCTAAATTTCATGTAATAAAACAAGTCACTTTGTAGAACCTTACTAAACCAACCATATTCTGACACACTAGACTTCCTGAAGCTCCAGCAAAATATCCTAAGGGTGCTTGAACTGTTCCAAGAATGTCACTGATTGGAAACCAGTTCACAACTGTCCCAGGTCAGAGGTCTCCGCTTGCACACTGCTAAGAGTTCCAACTACTAAAACCATCACTTTTTAGGCACCACAGTGAACCACCACTAAGGAACGGTAGTGGATACCTAGCCCAATTGCAATTTTCCGCTCCTCCTTCTCACTAACATTCGGTTCAGTCTTAAGTTAAATATTTAGGTTACGTATTAGGAAGAACTTTCTGATGAGGAGGGTAGTAAAGCACTGGAACAGGCTACCCAGAGAGGTGGTGGAATCTCCATCCTTGGAAGTTTTAAGACCCAGGTAGACAAAGCCGTGGCTGGGGGAATCTTTATCCTTGGAGGTTTTTAAGACCCAGGTAGACAAAGCCTTGGCCGGGGGAATCTTTATCCTTGGACAAAGCTTTGGCTGGGATGATACAGCTGGGGGATGGTCCTGCTTTGAGCAGAAGGTTGAACTAGAGAGATGACCTCCCTCCAACTCTAATTTTCTATGATTTTACAATTCAGTAAAGACCCATTCCCACACCTTACTGAAATCTGTGTGGTCATAACCCGAGTGGGGGTGCCTAGGTGTGTCTGTAGGCTTTGGGGCTGTCTGGACCCTTACTCCTGGGCTTCAAGGAGCTGGATACTGCAGAGCTGTAAGAGCTTTTGCAGCTTTTAAAGAGCGCTTCTCCCCAAGCCATTCCTCAATTTTCTTTAATTCCTGGAAACTAAGACAAGACTCTTTTATCCCAGG